CGGGCGCCCTGCTCGGCGCCTATCTGGAGCGCCACGATCCGCCCGCGGCCTCAGAGCTGCTGCCGGTGCCGGGCGGGGCCTTGGCGGGCGGCCCCGGGAGCGGCGGCGGCGGCGTGGTGGTCGGCGTGGCCGAGGTGAGAAGCTGGCGCTGCTGCTGCCTCGGCAGCACCTGTTGGTGCCGGAGCCTCGTGCTGGTCTGCGTGCTGGCCGCCCTGTGCTTCGCTTCCCTGGCCCTGGTCCGCCGCTACCTGCAGCACCTCCTGCTCTGGGTGGAGAGCCTCGACTCGCTGCTGGGGGTCCTGCTGTTCGTCGTGGGCTTCATCGTGGTCTCGTTCCCCTGCGGCTGGGGCTACATCGTGCTCAACGTGGCCGCCGGCTACCTGTACGGCTTCGTGCTGGGCATGGGTCTGATGGTGGTGGGAGTCCTCATCGGCACTTTCATCGCCCATGTGGTCTGCAAGCGGCTGCTCACCGCCTGGGTGGCCGCCAAGATCCAGAGCAGCGAGAAGCTGAGCGCCGTTATTCGCGTCGTGGAGGGAGGAAGCGGCCTGAAAGTGGTGGCACTGGCCAGACTGACCCCCATACCTTTTGGGCTTCAGAATGCAGTGTTTTCGGTAAGTGGTGTCCCGCTGGCCTACCCCTCTCCCAGTCTCTTTTGGAGCGGTCTTGTGAACGCCCGGGAGGGCGTTCCGTCTGATAAATACCAGCGGAGAAGTGACATTGACAGTAGGAGTTGTAATTACTTTCCATCGCACACTGAGTATGTACTGTATAAATCAGATATAATGCGGGGCCTCAATAGATCTGGTAGAGAAAGAACTGTTCCTTTTCGGGATGAGTTTGATTAAAAATTGAGAGTCTTTTTGATGGGGGGGGGGTAAGATATGCATGGAAATGTCCATCTTTAACATTTGTCATCCTATTTCCGCAGCAGTTTTGGCAACAGAGAGTAAGGTTTCATATTCCTAGCTTTTTCTCTCACCTGCATAAATGCATCCCTGCTTTGACTCAAGTTTTCAGCGAAATGAGGCTGACAGAAACGTTGGAGTAAACAGTGTAGGGGATAGTTGTATACTCCAAATTTTGGAGTTTCCAAAAATTTATAATAGGCCTTTTCTTCTTTGAGTAATTTGCTTTAATACAATTTAAAGGAGAAAAATCCTCCTGTTTCTCTTTCTCTGAAGCAACTTCAGACAGATAACCTTTTGCTCATTGAGCATGTGTTTTTCTTCTTTATACGCATCCTCTAGACTCTTTTCTGTTCTTGTATTCATATGTTCTGTTTATTCTACTTCGGTTTCTATAGCTAGTGTGCATCTCCGTACCGCTAATACAGGATCAAAACACTGCTAGTAGGGGGACCATCCGATTGGAAGAAAGGAATCTGGTCTTTACAAACTTTGTGACTTTGGAACAAATTACTTTCCTCTTTTCTAAAGTGTGAAGAGGTTAAACTAGATTACTGAGTTCCCCCAGTACAAGGATTCTAAGCGACAAAGAGTTCATATAGAGATTCCCAGGAACTCAGCCCTTCAGTTAGACCTAAACTGTATACTAAAAGAGATACAGCATTCAAAACCATAGGAATGGATGTATTTTATGTTAGTGATTCTGACGCATCATTTTGTTTGAAAAGTAAATAAATCATCTCTGGAAACTTTCTCATTTTGTTTTGTTCTAACCAGCCTACCTCTTTGTGATGAAATTAAGATATTTTTATTTTAAGATACCTTTTGCAAATTTCTTGTTGGTTATATTAGCCAGCAGCGGTTATGACTGTCAAATGATGTTTGGTGGAGGCAGTGGAAACAGATATGGGGTTGTCTGTAGAGACAACATTTGGTGTTTACAGTACTTTGGTATGGTTTAAGCCTTAAATTTGTATCTTTTCACAGCCTCTTAATAATAGGAAATATAAACACAACTTTGACCCATTCTTGGGTAATAATCAACTGTCCTAAGACTTTGAAAGAAGGTCAGGACTAAGGAATGTATGTAGATTTATTATGTTAATTTGCTTTGTCTCCAGTATAGCTTGCTTGTATCTTTGTGCCTTTTCTTGTCTACCTACTGTGTGCAAAATGCTAGTCTAGGCTCTTTCCACATGTTATTTCTAATCCTTAAACCAGCTCTGCAGAAGGTGATTATGTGCATATTATAGACTATTGTCTACTAGGTAGGAGCACAGGGCTGGTGCTCTGGAGGCCTCTTGTCTGCTTAGAATCTGGTGACCTTGGTCAGGTTGCTTATTCTGTCTGTGCTTCAGTTTCTTATTGGTAAAATGTAGAAAGTAAGTAGTGTTTCCTACTTCATAGGATTATTGAGAAGATTACATGTGTGTATACATACAACAGAGCTTGGCTTAACACTAACATGCTGACTTTTGTCGTCGTTTCTGTTATTACCCAAGGTCACCCAGGTAGTAAATAAATGGTAGAGTCAAACTTTGAACTGTGGTCTGATGGCGGGTCTCGACCCATAGTCCTATTTCTTCATTGTATATTTAGTGCCTGGTGTAGCCATGGGTATACAGTAAGGATTTGTTATATGTTTATTGATTGACAATAAGGTAGGTTTTTCTTTTGACAGTGCCTCTTCTACGTATTAAATATGTAAGAAGTTGTAATATGTACTTGGAAGTAATTTAATGTAATCATGTAGTTGGAACCACAACTACACTTGTGGTTGAAACTTTGGAAGGGGGCAGCTTTCAGTTTGGCATTGTGGGGTCAAGAGAAAAGAAGGAAAAGAAAAAATGGCCTCTTGAAATAAGTATTATTGTCACCATTTTATTGAGAAAGAAGTGGATTTTCAACCATCCAGGAACTTGTTCAAAGTCATCCACATACCAAGAGGCAAAGCTGAGGTTTAAAACTAGGATTAGCTGATATGGTTCATCTCGCTGTAAAATTCTTACTCATAGCCGTAAACAGGGAAGGTTGGAAGCCACTGCATATGGTCTGTTTTGTCTTGTTCATTCCTATTATTCTGAGCTGCCTGCTTACAGAAGTAGTCCTTTCAACCAAACCAATTTGCTGAATTCACCCAGGATATGTAAGCAAAAGGAAAGCTTAGTTTAGGCTGATATTTATTTTAGTCTGGGTTTCTTTCTCTTCTGCCTTCTAGAACTTTATTCTACTTTTACCCTTTCTACCTCATACCCATCTGGCTAATCACAGCTACCCGCTTTCCAGGCTTATTTCTCTTGTTTTCCACCTCCCTCCCTATTTTTGAAATCCCCCCCCCCTTTTTTTTTTTTTTATAAAAGATGACCGGTAAGGGGATCTCAACCCTTGGCTTGGTGTTGTCAGCACCACCACGCTCAGCCAGTGAGCAAACCGGCCATCCCTATATAGGATCCGAACCCACGGCCTTGTTGTTATCAGCACCGCACTCTACCGAGTGAGCCACGGGCCGGCCCGCCCCCCCCCCCCCCCCCCC